TATCCTGTACATTGTAGGATGTTTAACCAATCCCCACACTATATCCACTATATGCCAGTAGTATCCCTTGGTAATGACCACTAAAACATCTCTAGATATTGCCAAATGTCCCCCTGGGGAGCCAGAGGCAGAATTACATCCAGCTGAGAACTACTAGGCCAGATGCACAAACAGGATGGTGAAGAAGATCTGTTCAGGGGTAGAGGCACTGGTTTAGAAGTGCTGGCACGCCCCCCCCCCCACCTTCCCTCAGCCAGCAATATCAGAACAGCAAGTAGATCTACAGAAAGGGAAAGGGTGTGTAGTTTGGTAAGGGTAAGAGTGAACTGTGCAGCATAGAGGTGTGGAGAGGCCTGTAGGGACCTTGAAGTCAGCAAAAGACACTCCAAGACCAAGTTCTCAGCACAAAGGAGATTTATTTGCCCCAGAGGGACAAAGGGCAGGGAATAAGAGACAAGGACAGGAGACAGAGGATGAGGGAGAAGGGGAAGGGAATAGGAGGGATATCAGTCCCAAAGGGACAAAGGACCGCCTCTGGAAAAAGAGGACACAGATGTGGCCCATAGGCAAATGGCAGTTTATAAAGGTAAAAGGAGAAACCCTATTGGTGAAATTATTAAGGCCACTCCACATAGTTAAAAGGGAGAATTATTTAACGGTGTAACTTACAAATGAAGGGATAGGTAGGTGGCCGGTTCTGGGAAAGACACAGCACAATCCAGCGGTGTTCTCTGGAGAACTCTCCTCAGTCTACCTCTAGCGTCCAGCGTCCAAACAGGAAGAGAGTGTGGCACATTCTGATCTCGGGTCTTCAGGGCCCTCCCATGGGCCCGCCATGTAGACATGATAGTTACCGAAGCCTCAATGAGGGTTGGAACTTCCAGACCAAAGCTGGAATGGCTACCCACTACAAAACCCCTTGTTAGGATGTGGTGGTATATTTTGATTAGACAGGTTAATTAGGGCAGACAAAGGGGGACTTTTGATTGCTGGACTCCAATACTTTGACAGCTGGACATTGGTTGTCAACCTCAAGAGGAGGTAGTGGTCAAATAAGGGACTAGACCTTGGTGGATAGCTTTAGGGAGTGTAATATAATGATTCTTAGCAAGGCAAAGGGAATGGGGGAGAAGGGCAAGGCCTGCCAGAGCCATGTTTACCATGCTCAGACCTACTAGAGTCTCTTCAAAGCCCAGTGCATCACAAACTCTAAGGGGTATCTTTCTTTCGTATAGACAAAAACATGAACAATATGTGCTGGAGTTGTACAGTATGATCAGCCTGTATGTTATAACCCTAAATATTCTATAAATGCTGCCTCTTTTCTATTTTGCTTCATCCTCCACATACATACTAATGCCCAGTGTATATGATGTGTGAGGTGGGGCTAGATAATCTATGAAACTAATTTCTAGGATGCCACTAAGAGCCAGAAGCAACAGGGAGAAACACAGTAATCTCTCCACCATCACCTGTGTCTCAGAAACTCCAGGGAGACCAGTATACAGGCTCCCAGCACACATGGGGTGAAGTTCAAGCCAATTTCATTTGAATATCAAAGAATCTGCATCACAGTTCTCTGTGTCTGCATTTAATTTGTTTGCTTTCTTTTATTCCATTCCATGAGCATTATCTTTCTTCCCCTTGGCTTTCCTGTAGCCTTGTAGTTTTGATTAAGTCCAATACAAGAGTGAAGGCATGTAGTCTGTTCTCTAATGCTGTACCAAAGATGGAAGTAGTCAGCCCAAGATATAGGAATACGAGGCAATTCTCTTTAGAAAACTTAAAAGTAATGAAACAGAGTAAAAGCCAGCTGTTCTTATCAACATAAAGTCTTTCATGATTCCAAACATCAATGATCACATACCCGTCCGTCTCTCCAAAGCATTCTTGCTGGTCTATGCTGTAAACAACTACTCTACTGATGATGCCACAGAAGCCTCACAGCTGAATCTTCAAAATTTTCCAGTTTCTGTGCCAATTCCTTCTACATACTCTGCTAAGAGAACTTTAGGGAAAGCAAAGGAAGGTCTGTGTGGGGTATGGTTTAATACCTTTCTTTCTGGGTTTAAAAGGAAAACGCTATGAGGGAAATATCCCTCAGATGCCTGTAAATACCACTGTCCCCACTCCTAGAACATCTCACAGCTGGAAAACAATATGACAGGACTCTTGGACCATGGAGACATTCTACTTGGAGCATTTTCTGGGATAGGCTTGGGGATTTCTTCAAATTGTTAAATAAACTTACTAAACACTCTTATTCAAAAGTAACAATATTTCAACTTAATTTCCCAACACTTTATTTCTGCACATTGATAATCTTCTTGACAAAAAGAGAGCTCTACAGTCCCCAACCATCACAGGCCCCTAATAGCACCACCTTCATAAAGGGGTTGAGGATGGAACAAAACAAACCTCATATTGTCCCATAGGATTTCTGCCTACAAAAGGTTTATTCTCTTGTGTCTTGGACTCTGGTACTTTGCCAGAACACACACCAGAATATATATAATGAATTAAACTAGCAGGTTAGTCATGTTAGAAATATTAGTTTGCAGTCTTTGAGTAAAGTACTTCCTCTACAGAGAGCAGAAAATGGAGGAATCACAAGTCACTCCCTGAATATGAGCACTCTGCTCATCTATACTTCTCCATCCTAATGATCTGTGAGCTTCTTGAAACAACAGGCTTGTCATATTGGTCTCATTTCCAGCTCCTGAGCCAGCACTTGATTGTACAATAAGGGCATAGTAAATGATCTAGAGAAGGCAGGTCAGCACACAAAACAAATTCATGGACAGTGTGGTAGACTTTTGTTACTGACAAAAATCACCTTACATAAACAGAAGAAAGATTTTGACTTACAGTTACAGACATTTTCAGTGCTTCATGGAAAGGAGGATGTGATCAAAACAACTCACATTATGGCAAGTAGAAAACAGGGAGACAGAGAACTGCCTGGGACAGATTACAGCTCTGTGGTGGTTTGAATAATACCTGTCCCCACAGGCTCATAGTGACTGGTACTATTGAGAGGTGTGGCCTTGGAGTAGGTGTGGAGTTGTTGGAGGAAGTGTGTCACTGGGGGTGGGCTTTGAGGTATCAGTCTCTTCCTGCTGCCTGTGGATCCAGATGTAGAACTCTCAGCTCCTCTAACACCATGTCTGTCTGCATGCCACCATGCTTCCTGCCATGATGATAATGGACTAAACCTCTGAACTGTAAGCCAGCCCCAATTAAATGCTTTCTTTTATAAGAGTTGTTGTGGTCATGGTGTCTCTTCACAGCAACATAAACCATAACTAATACAAGCCCTTAAGGACATACCCCTTCCTAAAGTCCTCTGAATCTTCCAAAAATGATACCAATGGCCTGGGATCAAGCCTTTAATGCATGCCTGTGGGAGCCTGTTTTCAGGTTCCTTGTGGCTTTACCCAGCAGGTCCACATAGAAGATGATTAGGACCACAGTTCTGAATGCAGGTGTCTGAAATGGTCTGCACTTGGCTGTGCTGGGGGGCGGGTGAGGTCTTTTGCTCCATCCCCTTGGCATCTCTATAAATATCCTGGGGCAGAGACAGTCAGGACTCGTTGGAATAGGTTCCAGGCCCTCTCGAGGCTATCCTTTATTTTCTATCTGTTTATCTCCACAATCTAAATCCTTCTATCTAATAGTTCCTACTGCTCGCACTCAAGAAAACTCTGGGGAACTGTGGGGTTGGTGGGTAAATGCCCCGCAGTGCCCAAACCATAATAGGTGGATACTACAACACAGCAGAAAATCCAGACAATAGGAGACTTGTGTCTCCTAAAATTAGACATTTTTAAAGGTGAGAAGTTGCAACTGAGAATTTGGTCAGGATTTGGGGACAACTGTTCCTCATTATTCTTCATCAATCCTGTGATGGTTAGTATTGTTAACTTGGCAAAACCTAGAATCACCCGGGAGATGGGTCTCTGGGCGTATCTGGGGAATTATCTTGATTACATTAATTGCAGTGGGAAGAACCCTCCTCTGTGGATGGTACCATTCCCTGGATGGGATCCCGAACTGTATGAATGGAAAAAGGGAAGTGAGCAGCAGCATGCATTCATCTGTGGATGCAATGTGACCAATAGCTCCAAGTGCCTGCCACCCTGATTTCTCTGCCATGAAGGGCTATGTGCAAGGAACAGACCCTTTCTCTCTTAAATTGCTTTTGCCAAGGTTTTGTTTCTTTTCTCTCTCTCTCTCTCTCTCTCTCTCTCTCTCTCTCTCTCTCTCTCTCTCTCTCTCTCTCTCTCTCTCTCCCCGAATCAGGTTTTCTCTGTGTGGCTTTGGAGCCTGTCCTGGAATTCACTCTGTAACCCAGGCTGGCCTGGAACTCACAGAGATCTGCCTGCCTCTACCTCCTGAGTGCTAGGATTAAAGGTGTGAACCACCACCGCCTGGCGCTTTGTCAAGGTATTTTATCACAGCAAAAGAGAAAAGACAATTTCCTTTCTAGCTAAGGTCATCATGATGGGAACACTCTTTGTTGTTGTTATTGTATTGTTTTGGTTTGGTTTGGGTTTTGAGACATAGCTTCACTATATAGCCTGCCTACACTGGCCTTTAACCTACTATGTAGCTTAGGCTGGTCAATAACTTGTGATCCTCCTGCCTCAGCCTCTAAAGTGGTGGCATTACAGGAATATACCCAGCTTAGGAATACTCACAAACTAAAAGAACACTGAATAGATAAAGCAAGTAACCTGGCCCCACATTAAGTCCAGTTTCCAGTCCGTAGATCTTTAAAGTCCACACTGAGTCTGTCCTGATGTCCCATGACTGCTAAGTGCTTACTGATAACAGATATTGAAGAACCTCTCTTAAATTACCAGGAAGTAAAACAACTAATCCTCCAACTTTGATTTCAATGGAAAGGACCTCCCACTCTTTTCACATTGCCAGATTTAAGTGCACATAAGACCAAAGGGAAACCAGAAATACTGACACTAAGACACCATAAAAACAACTTAGTTATCATACATTTATTTTTAACATAGCACCCCAGTTTCACATCATGTACATTTTCCAAGTTGGAAATCCTTAACTTACTATGCTCTTCACAGATTTTTCAACAAGTGTGAAAAAGAGGCAGTAAAGTTAGCATGAGTCTACAAATCACAATCCAAATATAGGACACTCTCAGGGATTTATTTATGTTTAAGGTAAATACATAGAATGTTCCCAATGCTTAGCAAATGAATGAGACTCTGGCTGAGTTACATATTAGCACAACTTGTTAGCACAATATCATGAAAAGACAGAAAGCATCAAATATATACTTTGCTGTTACACTTTTTACTGTTACATGTACCTATAGTGAAAAAATATAATATACATTTTTACCTCCGAGGTTAAAATAGACAGTCAGCTCATTATCTCTCATAGCCGATAGCTATGAAGACTAAAAGGGCTCTTTTTGCCTCTGGCTCACTTAAATACCTTACTTGTGCTGAAGATGAAAAGAATGGCAGTTCTAGTTCTAAAGGAGAGGGTATCCCTGCTTCCCAAGATAGGTGCAGTGGAAGCTGGCACACAAGGTGACTTGAAACAGAAACTACAATTTATTAATCAAAGCGGCATATGATGGGTACTGTGTTCAGTCTCATGACAGAGCTCCCTGAAAGAACTTTACGATCTAGTCTTATCATCCCAGACTGCTATGAACCTGGTACCTGAGGGTGTCCTTACTGTAGCCCTCAAATTCCAGTTTAAGCCCTCTTAAAGCCTGCTGTCCTCTGGTCTTCAGAGTCATAAACCTAGTGTCATTAACTTCCCACAGCCACGATATTAGCTGACAGGAGAAATCACAAGACATGCAAACTAAGCATTCTCCAACAGTTGTCAGCAAAGCTAGGCTTCTGCAGACAGAGCAAGTACCAACAACTGCAACACGCAGTGTTTTCCCTGTGTCCTTTACCACCATAGTCAAAGTAGGAAGCAATCCTACAAGCCTAAAACTAACTATACCTGGACTGCCCAGCTCATAATCACATAGTGGTTGCTTCAAATATATTTATAAGACTTCCTCTGAAAGTCTGTTTGGGGCTGAGCAGCAGCTCTCAAAACCTGTATGCTTTGTTTTTCAAGTCTGGTCCTCCTTGTCTGCTATTCTTGAGAGGTTCATATAATTAAATGCATTTCTCTTCACAAACAGGCAAAGCAGAATGGCCCACAGTAATATGTATTCAAATTGCCATCAGTGATCAACCTGTCTGTGCTAGTGGAATGTTTCCATCAGCCCATGTTGAAAGAGAAGCAAGATGTGCAGGCTGAGAACTGTACACATCCAGATCATCCCTTCTTACTAGGAACTTGAATCACACTGAGTCATGATACAAAAAAGCTGTAACACCTATAACTAGAGTGGAAAGTCAACTAGCTGTTGAAGTCTGAGTTTTAAGGGAACACTCGAAGCAGAAGTAATCCGCTGGAAAGAGCAAAGCCACTCACGTTGTATTTAGTGAGGGGGAGATTTCTTTAACCACTCCTCCTTTTTCTTCACACCCACCATGTTCACACCACAACCCAGTGAGCCTGCTTGGTGGTCACATGGGGTCGGTCATCTGCTTGTGATGAGATGGCAAATTGTTTTTACATTTGTAAGACTTCATTCCCTTGATGATATCTAGTCGGAGGTGTGATTGTAGTATGTGTTGAACAAATGTCTTAGCTTTAAGGTGCTAATACTATAATTGAGCTCTTTCTAACTACTGCTTAGAAAAAGACATTTGCAAATGTCTTCTTTGATTGCAAGAATCACATCAATTCCAGATATTGTCTAAGTGATATTCTAATTATGTATCTATTATGTCCACGGTTATGAGACCATTCAGGACACAGACAAATGTTTAGAAATACTATACAGTCAACCACAGTTAAAGAAAAAATATTTTACAATAGTTCAGACATTGGTAGAAAGTCAAAAGAAAAGTTCATGTGTTTAGATTACTTATCTATCCCTAAAATGTGCTAAAATGGACCATTTGTGACCCAAGTGACCAAAGATATACTGGAGAAAACTATAAGCTACTACATATTGAGTTCATTTTTATCACAGTAGTCTATTTGAGAAAGCAAGTGCCCACAGGAATATAGGACTGGAATCTATTCAAAGCAATAGCTGTCCAAAGTTCTGCCAAGATTTAAAGTAATGTACTGCATCATCAAAGGTGAGGCATTAGAACAGTTTAATGATATTATTTTCCCTCATATTTTATTTTTTACTTAAATTTGAGAGAAACGTCTAGACCTAAAACTCCTTAGAAGATGTTTTCATATTTAAAGACCAATTAAGTCAATACATTTCAACATGATAAACAGAAAAGGCTTTCTAATCTATTTTTAGGATTGACAGAGGGCGAAGTTGGAATCTATAAAATCAGACTAGCATCCCAACTCTACCACTAGCTATCTATTTTTGTGGATTCCTGGGCAAAGAGCTCCCAGTTCTTAGGGTTGTACTTTTCCCATGCTAGCTATAGGATAGAAACACTGGCCCTGCCCTAACATTCATATGGGCACAGCTTCCAGCTAAGCTGACTCCTTTCTCATTTAGTCCCAAGCACTTGTCTGTACTTATAAAGTGCTTAGATCTTTCCAACTAGAGCAAATATCTGCCTTGGTTATCACATTATACATCCATTTTTTTCTATTTACCATTTGAGTTTTGCTTTAGGTCTATGGATAGAAAGGAGGCCACATGCTGTATGCCACTTATAAGAGATGCTAAAGACCCCAATAAGCCCAAGATCAGTTCCTACTGTGCTTTCATCTGTAGGACTGGAGGATCCCCATGCAGTAAGACAACTGAGCAACAAGGCAATTAAACCCCTATGAATGGAGGCAGTGTTGACCTTCATTCTGTAGAATTCTGTCCAAGTAGCAAGTCTGCATCTCTCATCCCTCATCTGAGAAGCTTCTTTTCACAACAGATGGCGATTAATTCCAGAGCAGTTTTATAGGTGGTTTCAGTGTGCTTGCCTTCCTATATCATATTAAAGACTCTAAAAAACAGTATTGTAACCCTAAAAGTGCACATTCTAAGAAAACACAGAAATAAAGGATGAATACTAGTCATATAATAATATATACTTAGATAGAAACACAAATATTTCCTTTCAAAAATGCAAAATTGGGTCCAGCTAAGAATATTCTCTCTCTCTCTCTCTCTCTCTCTCTCTCTCTCTCTCTCTCTCTCTCTCTCTCTCTCTCTCTCTCTCTCTCTCTCTCAGTGTGTGTGTGTGTGTGTGTGTGTGTGTGTGTGTGTGTGTATTATTGGTAAGTGTTTAATGCAATGCCTAAATTAAAATATTGGTGATGGGCTGGAGGTGTGACCCAGAGTTTGCCTAGAATGCATGATGTCCTGGGTTTCATCCCCAGCTCCACAAGAAATATATTGATGCGGCTGTGACACTCAAAGGGCCTTGATTGTCCAATGCAAGTCTTATCCTTTAAGAGAAAAAAAGCCAACTAAATAAAATCCCAATCTCTACCCAGTTCTCTGGGTCATTTACTTCACAGGGAAACAGCAAGTCAGTGTTGTTAAACGCACAGTTAAACTAACGTTCCTTAGGTTGTATCTGGTTGGTAGATTTGAAGTGCTACCCCAAGTGAGGGCATATGCACTGGGTGATTTTGAGATAAAGTGCATATGTTGGTCTTTCCTGTATTGAATGTACCAAACACCAAACATGCTGTGAAACAGCTGCAATCAGAACACTGTTGAAAATTTGTCACAGCCCCCACATCCCAGCATAAGGAAAAAAGAAGTCACCTACGAATTTGCACTGACCCATTCATAATCTTAGGAGGGCTTAAACTCATTCCCGAGCCCTCCCCACAAGAACAACAACAAAAGGCAGCCAAGGGAGAAAAGGAAATGCAGAAATAGTTCAAGTTTCTTGACTTTCCAAATCAAATCAGTTTCAAATCCTTAAATATGCATGGAAGAGATTCAACAATTTGTTATTCTTTGGAAAAACATCATCTGTTTGAACCCTTCTCTTCTGTTATTAAGCTACTGATAAAGCTTGCCAAAGGAACAGGGAAGTATTAAATAAACACCTATTTTTACTAAACGCTCTCAGCACTATTGAAATCAACAGCCTAATCTTACATATTATAAATCTTTCCAAAACCATTTCAAAAAGTACCCTGTGCACACCACATCCCACTATACAAAGAATGGGTAGGTTGGCAAAACGCACAAGAGACAGTATGTCATGCTATAAGTCTCTCAAAGTAATGTTAACATTGGAATGCCCTGCTGAGGATTGGTGAACTAGGGACCCTGTGACCCTATAGGTCAGTCATTTCCTACTTTCAATTGGGCTATACTACTACATTTCTACAGGATACTGGCTTTCTGCAATTTGAGCTTGCGTTATATCACTTCCACTAGAGTTAGCTGAGATCCTCTGAACTGTATATGAAGTCAATACTTCCCAAGGGCACACTTTACAGAGAACAAATAGTCACAAAGCCAGTGTGAAGATTACATTCTTTCATTATGTCTTCAGACCCAACACATTTGAAATCCAGGCTAAAATAAAGACAACAACCAGGCATTGTTGGAGAGTTGGTAGCCATTACCCTTCCCTTCTCAGCCTGGATACCTGGGTGCAACAACAAATAGGTAGCTATCCAGCTACTCATATTTGATGGGTAGTTTCCAAGATCATGCATTTACAGAGATGTTATCCTCATGCAGGATAAAAGTAGTGATCTGGAAACTATTTAATTTGATTAGGCAAGGCAATTAAAATAGATTGTGCTTTCCCAAAAACTTACATGAAAAGGATTGAGTTATCTAGGTTGATGGCTGAGATTGGCCAAGTTGAACAGTTCATTGCCAAAATCTCTACTTCACATAGGTGTAAAGACCCATTCTGATATTTAATAGAAAACAATAGTCATGTATTATTTATACCTGATATAATATCAAAATGGCACTAGAGAAGCATTTTTTTGGCATATAGTGGTAGAGGGCACAATGCCAGTGTAAATCTGATGCTTTAATTGTATTTCAGCTTTTGTTTTTATTGTAATCATGCCTAAGACTATCCATTTGGAATCCACATTATTCAGGAAACCAACCTACTGTATGAAACACACAAGAATAAAATGAGCATCCTGCTAGTACTTCATTATTAGGTTCTGTAAAAATTATAAATAATGTTCTGAGTTATCTGATAGAAGACCAATTTTAATAAGGAGAAATATTTAAAAGTGGTTAAAATGGAAGATAAATTCCACTGATAAGTCAAGTTTTTAAATGGTACTTAGGATTAAACTTGGGGTTTTCTGCATATCAGGCAAGCTCTCTACCACTGAGCTATATCCTTAGCTCTCTTTTTACATTTTATTTCAGACGGTGTCTCAATAAGCTTCTCAAGATGGCCTTGACTTGTGACCCTCCTGCTTCAGCCTCCCAAGTAGCTGATAATTAAGATTTTAAGTACAATAATCAGTTGAAGACATTTTTACCACCACTGTAAAATATACAAGAGTAGTGCAAAAGAGAAAGTCATACAGAATATATTGTGCTGCTCACAGCTTTTGACATTCAGACATCTATGACAAGTGGTTGGGCTCAAACAAAAGAAAGATCTTGGCAGACAAGGTCATCTACTGTCACTCGAGACTTGAGGATGTCACAACACTGTGACTGGACGAAGTTGTTCCAATTGGTTTTCCAATGCAATCCGTTCTTGATGAACCTCCTAAAATGTACAAAACAGGGGAAAGAAAAGGAAAAGGCATCATTTCTCAGGTTCATCCCTATTTCTTTATACAGTCAAAGGAAATGCAGAACTGGACCAACAGACACTCAGGGACATGTGGTCTGGAAGGCACCATTTTCAATGCTGGTGATTAGACAAAGAGAGATTCACAATCACTAACCTTTCAATGCCTTTCTGAAGATGATGAAATGCAACTGCTCAACTTTTCTTTGCAAGCCTGCCTTAGCCTCACTCTGTGTTGATGGGCTCAGAAGGCAGCAGAGAATGACATGAAATATTAAAAAGCCAATAGGGGAGAACTAAAGGAGAAAGCGACTCCCAGTACAGAACTATGAGTCACTTCAACTAAGTTTCTAGTTGCAACCTCTGGCTTCTTTTATGGCACAATACTTAGCTAGGGATGAAGGATAAAAAGATAACCTGGCCATCCTTCCATCAAAGTCTCTTTTCCAGGCTCTTGTACATAATTCAGCTAACTTAAAGTAATTTCTGGGTAAAACGAAGAAGAAACAGACAGGAATCTGCTATTTGGAAATTCAAACTATGTCTTTTTTCTTTTACTACATTTATTTATTTATTTTACATACTGACTGAAGCTTCCCCTCCCTCCTCTCCTCTCACTCCCTCTGTGCATCACCACCCGATCCACTCCTCCTCTGTTTCTGTTCAGAAAAGGGCAGGCCTTCCATGGGTGTCAACAAAGCATGGCACATCAAGTTGAGGTAGGACTAAGCTCCTCCCCTCATGTTAAGGCTTGATAAGACAACTCAGTATGAGCAATAGTCTCCCAAAAGCAGTCAGTGTTAGGGATAGACCCTGCTCCCAACAAACTTTCAGTCTTAAAACAGATTTTTCAGAGAGAAAAAGGATACATAAACACACTCAAGTAGAATTGGCCAAGGTGGGAAAGAATTCTTATGTAAAGGCTCAATTCTGAGATGTTCCAGAAAGCCAACATATATTGGAAAACCAATGTACAGAACTCAACAAGTGTTCATTCATTCATACTCCTAGCAACCCATCTTCTATATCTATCAGCTCTAGGTCACATGCTGCTCTAGCTATGATGGTATCAGCAAAACCCAAGAAAGAGCAGGCCAGTGCCCTTATAGGGCTTCTATTCAAATGGATGGCGAGACAATGAAATGAGCAAAGACGACAGATTTCAGAGGAAATAAAGAAGACGACACACTGGAGAGCAACAGATGGGGGGAAAGAAGAAAGCATGACTAGGGAAGGTTACCTAGAGGTAGTGCAACTTGAGCAGAGACATGAAGGAAGCTACTTAAACATGTGGGGTGAAGATATGCAGGGTGACTAAATGACAGCTTCAAAGGCTCCAAGGGAGCCAACAAGTTTGTGAATGTGATATACAAAAAGAATGGAGTTCAGTTGCTAGAATGCTTGCCTTAAAGAGTTCTATCCCCAGAACCACATGCACAGGTCACAGTGGCATGTGCCTGGAATTTCAGCACTTAAGATGTAAAGGAAGGATAATTAAAAGGAGTTCAAGGCCAACCTGGCATCCATTAGTGAATTTAATGTCAGCCTGAACTATATGAGATCCTCTCTCAATAAAACAAAACTGAAAAGAAACAAAAGGAACAATGGATGAAGCTGATCTACCCAAAAGCAGAAGGAGAGATGAGGGGATAAAGCCAAATGAAATAAAAATGAAGTTAATGAAGTAAAAATGAGATAAAAATACAAATCACTTCAAGAGAGTACTGAATGACTTTCCAGGGTGAGGTATCATTTTGCAGTCCCACTGCCAATGCATGAGGTTCCAGTCACCTTCCTCTGATGGTGTCATGTTCTGTTTCAACAGTTCTAGTAAGTGTATAGTAGTATGTAACCCTAGCATAAATTGTCATTTCCCAAGTGGCTAATGATGTAGAATACCATCTCCTGTGTATTTATGTCATCCTACATGCTCCTTGGTGAAATATCTGTTCAAGTCCTTTGTCAATTTTTAAATTGAAATGTTTGGTTTTTTAGAGTTCTTATTCTTTTTTAAAGTTCTATTTAAATTTTTTCATACAATATATTTTGATCATATTCCTTACACTCCCCCAACTCATTTCAGATCCTCCCTACTTCTCTCTCCACCCACTTCATGTTTTTTCTTACTCTCTCTCTCAAAAAAAAAAAAACAGGAAAAAAGACCAAAAAAAATTAAAGTCAAAACAGACAAACAAGTTGAAAGAAAGAAAATCAATAAGACAAAAATACTAAAACAAAACAAAGGGCCGAGAGAGTGGGGAGGAAGGGGGAGGAAAGGGGGAAGGTGGGATATTCATTTTGTATTGGGCAACTAATCCTGGGTATGGGGCCTTCCCTGGAGTATGGTCACTATACCAGTGAGGTTCCATTGGAGAAAGCTGATTTTCACTTTCCCAGCAGGCATCAATTGCAAATTGCTTCTTAATTAGAGGTGGAGTTTGTGTCCACTTCCCCCTTCTCCATGCTGGAAGTTTTGTCTAGCTTGGACATGTGCAGGCCCTGTGTATACTATCATAGACTCTGTGAGTTCATGTGTGCATCAGTCTTGTTACATCTGGAAAATGCTATTTCCTTGGAGTTATCCACCACTTCTAGCTCTTATAATCTTCCCACCTCCCCTTCTACATAGATTCCTGAGCCCTGGAGGGGAGGAGCTTGATGAAGACATCCCATTTAAGATGCAGTGCTCCAAAGCCTCTCACTTTCTGTACTTTGTCTAGTTGTGGGTCTCTGTTAGTTCCCATCTGCTGCAAGAAGAAGCTTCTCTGATGAGGGCTGAGGGAGACGGTGATCTATGGGTATGATAAAATGTCATTATTAGTCATTTCATTGCTGTGTTCCTTTAGATAGTTGTAGGTTTTCCCCCTAGACTTACTTTTGAGTTTAAAAAGTGATTTTTTTAATCAGAACACAAGTTCTCCGTCAAATTTGTAGTTTGAAAGTATTTCTTCCCCATCTGTAACTTGTATCTTCATTCTCTAGTGTTTTTGGCAGAACAAAAGTGTTTAACTTTAATGAAGGCCAATACACTAAGTTATTTTCTTAGAGATTATGCTTTTAGTCATTTTTTTTATACTAAGGTCGTGTCTAACCTCAAGTCATGAGGGTTGTTTCCTTTGCTTCCTCCTAAACGTCTTATAGTTACGCTTTCCATTTACACGGGGGAGCCATTTTCAGTTAATCTTTAGGAGTGAGACTTCGATCAAGATTCCCTATCTGTTACATACAGACGACCAACTGTTAAACATGGTGGGAGACCAGCTTTTTGTTGGGTTGATTTTGCATCATTGTCCTTCATCAAATGGCTTTATTTATGTGATCTATTTCAGGATTCAGATCTATACACTGCTCTCAGCACCATACTGCCTTGATGACAGCAGCTTGACAATGATTTCTTCATTTGCTCTTCCTTTTCACACTGCTTTAGCAATTCCAAGTTCCTCGGCCCTCAGATACAAAGTTTTGGATCAGCTTGTTTGTATTCATAAAAAATTCCTGCTGAGATCTTAATTGGTATTGTCATAAATCCAAAGATCACTGGAGAGAAATATGACAACTCTATTCTATTGAATCTTCCAAATATACAAATAAAGCCTATCTGTACCTTTAGGTCTCCCTGAGTTTCTCTCAGAAGCATTTTTTTTTTAGTTTCCAGCATACAAATCTTATGTGTGTTCTGACAGATTTGTACCTAAGTACTTCATTTGGGGGAAGAGGCCAGCTGCTGTGAAGTGGTACTTTAAGAAAATTCCATTATCAATTATTTATGACTTATATACAAGACTATGACTGATTATTTTGTGTATTGATCCTATATCTTGGGACCTTCACAAATTCAACTGAACAATGGAATTATTTTTAAAATCCAATTTGCAATAATGTCACAAAAATTTTGGACAATTTGTCAAAAGATATGCAAGACTTACATACTCAAATCTCAGAACCCCTCAGGAGAAATTTAGAAGAGAAATAGTTGTAGAGACTCCTCTACTTTCAGATTAGCAAAATCAACATGGTTTACATGCCAGCTCTCCTTAAATTGATTGATAGATTCAATGCAAATCGAACCATACTGCTAACGAGTTTTTATTTTGTAGTACTTTCCTACCCATTCTCAAATTTGCATGAGACAAAAAGGTTACAATATCCAATGGAATCATAGAAAAGGACATGTTGAAATTTTTATATTGCCACATTTCAAGACAGTATAAGGCAACAGCAATCAAGACTGTGTGATAGTAGTATAAGGAGCCACAGAAAGACTAATGGAACAGAGTAAGAAGCCAGAACTGAACCTCCAATTATAGGTCATTAGAGTTAGGATAATGACACCAGAGTGAGCCAAGGGAGGAAAAGTCTGTACATCAAATGGTACTGGATTAAGGAAATACTAAAATGGGGGAAATGAACCTTAACCCTAATGCCACATCACGTACAAATTTAATTTAAAAAATGTAAAAGAAGAAGCAATAAAGTTGCTAGAAGAAAATGTGTAAGAATTATTTTATAACCTAGAAATATGCAGAGTTTCCTTACATAGAAAGTAATAAGTTTAAAAAAAGACAAGTTTGGATTCTATCAAAATTTGAAGTATCTGCTCATAAAAGTATATAGTTATTACATAAATAGGTGATACAAACACTAGAAGGAAATATTGACAAACATATCTAATATTATTAACACTCAAAATATGTAAAAAGATATCTGCCCACAGCTCAATGGGAGTCAGGGTAGATAAGAATCTCAATGTAAAAACTGACCAAAAAAAAATCAGATGTGGGTGCATATACATATAATCCCAACACTCAAGAGACTGAGATAGGAGGATCCTGAGTTCAAGGCCAGCCTGGACTACATAGGGAGACCTTGTCTCAAAAACAAATAACACAGGGCTGGAGAGATGGCTCAGCGGTTAAGAGCACTGGCTGTTCTTCCAGAGGTCCTGAGTTCAATTCCCAGCAACCACATGGTGACTCACAACCATTTGTGATGAGATCTGGTGCCCTCTTCTGGCAGGGAGAACACTGTATACATAGTAAATAAATAAATCTTAAAAAAATAACAAAAATAACAAAAAAGTCCTCTGGTCAACACACTTGAAAATATACTTCATAAGATATATTAAAGGCTAATAGTCACATAAAAAAGTAAATGACATAATTAGTCATCAAGGACATAATTAGTCATCGAGGAAATAGACAAAATTACTTTATCCCAGGCCAGACTAAAACCAACAAAAATAAAACCAAATGTTGGCAAAAATTTAAAATTCCACACATTAATGGGCAGAATATAAAATCCTATAAACACACTTTTAAAAGGTACAATTTCTAATAAAATCAGCTATATATACTTACTATGGTACTTTGAATAGGAATGGCCCTCTATAGACTCATATATTTGAGTCTCCAGTTGGTAGAACTATTTGGGAAGGAGTAGGAGATATGGCCTTGTTGGAGGAGGTGTGTCACTGGGGGGGAAGGCTCTGAGCTTTAAAAAGTACCCCCCCAACCCAATCCCTCTCTCTGCCTGAAACTTGCAGATAAAATGTAGGCTCTCAGCTACTGCTCCAGCACCATGCCTTTCTGCCTGCTGCCATGCTCCCCACCATAATGGCCATGGACACATCCTCTGAAACTGCAGTAAGCTCATGCAATTAAATGCTTTCTTTTATAAGTTTCCATGGCCGTGTTGTTTCTTCACAGCAATAGAAAGCTAACTAAAACACTTATCAACTAATCCTGTTAGTTGATATCAACTTATTCTGTTAGGATAAATGAGAATATATTTCCACACAAAAACATGTCCAAAGTTTCTGTGGAGTGCTCTGTCATAAACGGAACATATACATCACCCCTCACTGCAAGTTTCATGGCACATTTTTGGAGAGGAGGCATAAAGAATATCAGAGCCACAGGTTGTAAAGAGGACTAGGGCAAAATAGTGCTTTCTGAACATGACAGGCCCACTGCACTCATGAACTCACAGAAGTTATGACTGCCTGCACAAGATCAAGTCAGTGAACATTCAAGCATGGATGGCGAGAGCCCAGAAGCCCCACCCGTAGGCAGAGGAACTATTGGCAGTCTATGGTTGCTACCCAAGGGAGAGTCGGTTTTCATTAGGGGTATGGTCCCTTTTAGGTTGACCAGCTAGCTGCAGTGGATGACCCCACACCCACAAATATAGGGACAGCACAAGTCTGACTCAGTGGGTTATTAAAAACAGATATGAGGGAGGAGAAGGGTGAATATGATCCAAACACATTGCATGAAATTCCCAGAGTAAGAAAAAGTATGTTATTAAAGAAACATGTTCAATGATGCAGCTTTACTCACAATGTTCTAAAACTGTTAACAGCTCAAGTTTCCATCAAGAGACCTGATAATGGAACTGTGGCATATTCACTCAGTGCGGTATTAGGTAGCAATGAAAGGAACGAAGTCTTCATGCATTCAACAAAATAAATGAATCTCAAAAACTTGATGCAAAAGTATTTGCTTTAGGATACTATCATATACAGTTACAGAACAGGCAAAACTACAGTATAAAATAATCCAAATGGTGGCTGCCCTGTGGTGGGGTAGAAGTGAAATGGGAGGGAAAGTGAGGAAGCTTCCTAAGGTGATAGCAATGGTCTCCAAATCCATAGAGTTTGCCTTCTATATACATTTGTTACAAGATCGCCAAGTATACAGCTAAGATTTGTATATGTTAAATTTCACATCATAAGAAAAACCCATAAAAAAAATTGAACTCTACGAGGCTAGCCTGTTTGTTCTGCATACATAGTGAGTTCCAGGACAGAAGGGACGCTGTAGAGAGACCCTGTCTCAAATAGAAACTTCAACACTAACTAACAATATACATGCTGAAGTATTGAGAGAACGTTTACAGATGTTGGTAATTTAAATATGTGTCAAAAATTAAATAAACTGGTGAATAGAGGAGACAGACAAACTGACACATGCATAAAAAACAAGTATAATAAAATTTTAATAACAGAACTAAAGCAATGGTTGTACACATATTCACTGTACAATTCTTCCAAACTTTCTGTCTTTAAAAGTTCGGTAATAAAATATCTTGGCAGAGGTGGAGGGCACACAAAAGTCAGGGATGGAAGGGGATAGAGAACGTTAAAGCAGCACCCGTGGGGTAGAAGGCAAAGGAGAAAAGCACAGTATCTCAGTTACAAACACTCTTTCCAGATGGGCACAATGCTGCAGACCTGTCATCAAAGAGCTCGGGAGGTTGAGGCAGGAGGATTTTGAGTTCAAGGACAGCCTGAGTTGCTTATCAAGGCCCCATCTTTAAAAAAAATGAAAAGTAAGCCAGGCAGCAGTGGTGGTGGTGCATACCTTTAATCCCAGCACTCGGGAGGCAGAGCCAGGCAGATCTCTGTGAGTTCGAGGCCAGCCTGGTCTACAGAGCAAGTTCCAGGACATCCAAGGCTACACAGAGAAACCTTGTCTTGAAAAAAAACAAAAAAAATAATAAAATAAGAAAGAAAGAAAGAAGGAAGGAAGGAAGGAAGGAAGAGAGAGAGAGAGAGAGAAAGAAAGAAAGAAAGAAAGAAAGAAAGAAAGAAAGAAAGAAAGAAAGAAAGAAAGAAAGAAAGAAAGAAAAAAGAAAGAAAGAAAGAAAAGTAATTTTAGAGGAAAGCATGGTCATTTATGTCGATTCTTCTAAAACCTTAATTAATTAATTAATTAAACAAACCAAAGCCAATTGGATTTGGCCATAAGAGGAATGTGGGAAGACAGCAAGACCACACTAAGGTGGGAGAGAGAGAAAACAGAAAGTAAAAACAGTGAGTGAGAATAATTTCTAAGAAAATTCACATGAAGGAGACCAGAGAAACAGAGCAGTAACTACCCAATGAGAATTGCTAATGCTGGAGTTGTTTATGTGTGGGTTAAGAATGACCCAGGAAAATCATGTCCCACCAAAACATGCTCAAGGCCTAACTCCCAGGACCTGTAAACATGATTTTACATGTGAACAGAATCATGTGAGGATGGCATCGTGCTAGATTAGGTTGGGCTCTTAATCAAAAATACAATAAAAACAGATAACAGGCAAGACACCAGAAAAATGCCATGTGACAATGGAGATGATTGAAACTTTTTATGTACAGGTGAAGGAATAGCAAGGATTGCCAGAAACTACCTGGAGCTGCGAAGCAAAAAAGGAGTCATCTCTAAAGCCTTCAGAGACAGCATGGCTCTGATGACACCTTGATTTCAAACTCCAGAGCCATGACAGAATAAAGCACTACTGTAGTAAGTCACCTAATTTTTGGTACATAGTTAGAGCAGCCTGAGAAACTTATGTAGAGGATAAATGATGGAGAGAAATGAGTGAGAAAAACAGGGTTAATGTCCTTGAGAACGTGAAATGGAGCCATTTCCATAGTACCAGAAAAGGGGTTAACTAAGGCTGCCTACTTCCACCAACGTGTAGAATCATTCATAGAAGATCTAAACAATTATGATCTTACTCAGAAGCTTTGGACAACAAAGAATACAGTTTGTAAGTGGCTTTATTTACTACACGATATACAGCCTCCATATTGAAGTTACTAATCTTATTCTAAGCATTCAAGAGCCAACCCTTGAAACTTAAATACACTCATTCTCTACCAACTAGAAAAGCTTTGAGAACAAAAGTGGGTCTTAGCGAAAGGAATAGAGAAATGATGATCAAAACACAAAGCCAGAGTCAAGTGAAGGAGTCCAAATGGGGAACCACTCTTACCTTCAGCTGCTGCTGAAGCTCACTGTTCAAGCGGGCCAGCACTGCATTGGCCTCTTTATTTTTGCGGATGGCAGTCTGGATTGCCTTCTTCTGTTTGGAAGACTGCCTGTAAAATAGTATAAACATCTTGATGAAAAGAGACTTAGAGGTCTGGAGTCTTCCTTGCAAGTCAGAACTCAGATTCATGAGACGTGCTAAACTGACAAAGGGTAACATCCCAGGGCTCCAAAAATAATATCTCATATTCCCCGGCCAGCAAGCCAGCAGGCAGGCAGGCCCACACCAAAATTGGTCAGGATGGATGACTTACACCCCATTTTACAACTCGAATAAAGGCTGTGATTGGGCCTTTTCAAACATTTGTGTTCCAGTTATTCCAAGACATTTTAATAAGCATTTTTTCTTGTAATTCCTATTAGCTCAATGGCCCTTTTGTGGAAGCATTAATGGAATCTACTTCAGTGGACAAGACTGGTGGAAAAGAACAGAACATTCTCTTAAGAAAAAAGTCTACATTAATTTAGCAAAACCGCCTAATTCTCCTTTATTTCTTTAGAAGGGAGGGAGGAAAGTAGGGAAGGAGGGAGGAGGAGGGACAGGGAGAGTGAGAATATAAATTTTAATATGTACCAGAATATATCTGAGGCACCTGAAGAAAATGGAGAATGCTTTTGTACCAGCTAAGTCAGTACTAAATTCAAAGAACTAGGGCGATCATGTGTAACTGGGGCGACCATGTGTAACTGGGGAGATCATGTGTAACTGAGGTGACCATGTGTAACTGGGGCGACCATGTGTAACTGGGGAGATCATGTGTAACTGGGGCGACCATGTGTAACTGGGGAAATCATGTGTAACTGAGGTGACCATGTGTAACTGGAGCAACCATGTGTAACTAGGGAGATCATGTGTAACTGAGGTGACCATGTGTAACTGAGGTGACCATGTGTAACTAGGGAGATCATGTGTAACTGAGGTGACCATGTGTAACTGGGGCGACCATGTGTAACTGGGGAGATCATGTGTAACTGGGGTGACCATGTGTAACTGGGGAAATCATGTGTAACTGAGGTGACCATGTGTAACTGGAGCAACCATGTGTAACTAGGGAGATCATGTGTAACTGAGGTGACCATGTGTAACTGAGGTGACCATGTGTAACTGGAGTGACCATGTGTAACTGGGGAGATCATGTGTAACTGGGGCGACCATGTATAACTGGGGAAATCATGTGTAACTGAGGTGACCTTGTGTAACTGGAGCAACCATGTGTAACTAGGGAGATCATGTGTAACTGAGGTGACCATGTGTAACTAAGGTGACCATGTGTAACTAGGGAGATCATGTGTAACTGAGGTGACCATGTGTAACTGGGGCGACCATGTGTAACTGGGGAGATCATGTGTAACTGGGGTGACCATGTGTAACTGGGGAAATCATGTGTAACTGAGGTGACCATGTGTAACTGGAGCAACCATGTGTAACTAGGGAGATCATGTGTAACTGAGGTGACCATGTGTAACTGAGGTGACCATGTGTAACTGGAGCGACCATGTGTAACTGGGGAGATCATGTGTAACTGGGGCGACCATGTGTAACTGGGGAAATCATGTGTAACTGAGGTGACCATGTGTAACTGGAGCAACCATGTGTAACTAGGGAGATCATGTGTAACTGAGGTGACCATGTGTAACTGAGGTGACCATGTGTAACTAGGGAGATCATGTGTAACTGAAGTGACCGTGTGTAACTGGGGCAATCATGTGTAACTGGGGAGATCATGTGTAACTGGAAAGATCATGTATAACTGGGGAGATCATGTGTAGCTAGGGAGATCATGTGTAACTAAGGTGACCATGTGTAACTGGGGCAATCATGTGTAACTGGGGAGATCATGTGTAACTGGAAAGATCATGTATAACTGGGGAGATCATGTGTAGCTAGGGAGATCATGTGTAACTAAGGTGACCATGTGTAACTGGGGCAATCATGTGTAACTGGGGAGATCATGTGTAACTGGGGCTATCATGTGTAGTTAGGGAGATCATGTGTAACTGGGGCAATCATGTGTAACTGGGGCGATCATGTGTAACTAGGGAGATCATGTGTAACTAGGGGGATCATGTGTAACTGAGAAGATCATGTGTAACTGGAGTGATCATGTGTAACTAGGGCGATCATGTGTAACTAGGGCGATCATGTGTTACACTTGGGTCTATTAAAGTCTTCACTTACACTGTTTGGTCATAAGTCTCCTAATTTTCTAAACTCTGTGGTGGGAATGATAAATCAACATGGTCACCACAAGTATAACTTACAAACTCTTATCCCATAGCAAGAAACATATTAAAAAGGTGATTCATACTCTCCTAGGAAAACGACCATATTTTCAATCACTGGGAAATGGGTCCTAGTCCAGATCTACCATACACATATGATGACTATTTCCTGAAGGGATACACTATGCTAGCCACCCTGCTAATCTGCAGAAGACATAGTCCCTTCTGCACTAAGTTTAAAGGCTAGTTGTTTCAGCCATATAGAAACAAGAAAGTCTGCTATCTTTAAAACACAGAGGTTGTACTTACAGTTTTAATTCTGGGATTCAAATCTGGTAAAGCCAAGTGCTTTACCTACTGATCAATCTCCTCTACTTCTTAAGAAAATAATTTCATTAGCATGTATTCATTGTGCAAAGTAAAAGGTTTCATAATGACATTTTCATTCAAATATATCATGCACTTTGACCAGTATTCACTATTCAATACCCTTTTCTGTCCTTCCTCTCCCACTAGGTTCCATCCTCTTCACAAATGCCCTGTTTTTATTCTAGTGTTGCACATATAGGAGCGTGTGTGTGTGTGTGTGTGTGTGTGTGTGTGTGTGTGTGTGTGTGTGTGTGAAAAGAGAGGGAGAGAGAGTTATCTAGGTTCCACATAGAAGAGTAAATTTTTTTTTTTTTTTTTTTTTTTTTGGTTTTTCGAGACAGGGTTTCTCTGTGTAGCTTTGGAGCCTTTCCTGGAACTCGCTCTGTAGACCAGGCTGGCCTCGAACTCACAGAGATCCGCCTGGCTCTGCCTCCCGAGTGCTGGGATTAAAGGCGTGCACCACCACCGCCCGGCAGAAGAGTAAATTTTTTAATTCATAACTATTTACTGAATGAATAATATATGCCAGAATACAATAAAAGTAAACTAACACTACAAAGTACAATTTTGAAAATAAAACCAATATAACAAATATGAATAAAAATGCTTGAATTTTGATACATGATGCGTTCCTTCGCATTACAACAAACTTACATTTAAATGTCTATTAGAGAAAAACTGTGCCTCTGTCCAATTTTAGTGCTTTTTCCAAAAGCAACAACGTTCTAGAAGACTTTTTCTTTGACTTTGAGATACTTGATATTCAGACATTTGTTCAAGTACATAGAGTTGGTTTCAATGGCACATCTACAGATCTTGCTATTCTGGTAACATCTTGAGTAGCATCTACTTCTGAACAAGTACTATCTTGCGTTCTAAAACTGTTGATCCTTGAAATGAAATTTATTTCAATTGTGAGTTTTTAATAAACTGGGATGAAGCAAAAACTCACCCTTCCTCCCTGCAGGAACACAGAGCTATTGTTGAAGTATACAAACTCAAAACTGTCTTTCTACTTGAAAGAACATTAGTTACTAACATTTCTGGTAAGGCAATAAATGCTCCAGGATAATAGTCAATATATGTACAAAGATTACACTGAATGGCAACAAGTAAAAGAACACAACAAAAAAGAAAGAGAAATAGAAAAACACAACGGCCCATAAAGAGGACAAGTTTCCGAGAGGGACAAGATCTATGAAAACAACAAATCTGACCATGGATTTCTACTCAGAGCACAGAAGGCTCTCAAAACTCAGAGCACTAGCATTTGTCTCTCTGTTTCCTGGCTGTGTATCTGCCAGTGCAGCCTTACGTGCTCGCTGCCATGCCTCCCCTACCATGTTACACTGGAGCTCTTCAAACTGTGAGCCAACATGAACCCTTCTTCCCTTAAAATAAAAAAAAACTCAAAATGCAACGGTTAAAAAAAAGAACTAGAAAATCAGCAAAGGAGAGGAAGAGATGGATCACCAAAGAGTGTGCTTGATGCCAAACACACAAAAGAAAAGCTTTTCAACATCACTGGCCTTTAGAGAAATAAAAACTAAGATCAAAATGACACGGAGTTACATACCCACTAAAATTAAAAAAGGAACACCACCAAACACTGCAAGGGCATGAAGAAATTTAGTATCTCATTACATTGCTGGTGGGAATATGCCATGGTACCTCCATTCTGGAAGATAACTTAATAGTTTCTTTTCAAACTACTCATATACTTAGCAAACAATCCAAAAAAATCACAGTTCAGGATGCTCATCCCAAACAAAGGAAAATATATTTACAGATAAAAACCTGTGCAGAGATAATTACAGCAACTTTATTTGTGATCTTCAACAACTCCACAAAGCCAAAAAATTGCTTAATAGGAGAATGTCTAAACAAATTGGTATATCCATGCCATAGGATTCTGCTTCACAGTGTTGGATGATACACACATCTATCTACTTGGATGGATGTTAAGGGATAAAAGTTCTCCTTTCTTTGGGATAAGTGTCCCAGAATGTGATTTTTTTTTATTATATACTAAATGTATGCTGAGAAAAAAATGTCAAATCTAAAAGGTTGCATGCTACATGATTCCATTTATATAACATTCTTGAAGTGACAAAATTATAGGAAAGGAAAATTAGACAAGTGTTTGCTAGGGGTTATGAATGTCAGAGAATAGGAGGTAGTTCCAACTCCAGAATGTTGATTATAATGATGAACTACACAAATCTATACACTATGATAACATGTGATAAAATGGTATAGAATTATTCTGACTCTAGTTAGGTAAAATGTAATCACTGGGACAAACTACATGAAAGATAAACAAGCTTGCTTGGTATTATTTTTGTTAGTTTCTGTGATCTATATAGTTCAAAATTTAAAGTTTACAGGAAGAAGTCAATCAGAACTAGATGCCTCTTTATCCTTATGTGAGTCAGCTTAGAACAGCTTCTTCTCCAAG